CCTACCCCCCCACCCCCGAATAATGTCGTGTCACACATGTCCCGCTCAATTGCTGTCGTGTCACGAATCCTCGATCTCCCGGGCGTGTGTGGGGATCGAGAGCCTCTGCCTGTGGGCGACGATGATGGATCACCCACAGGTGCTTTAGGAGGAGGGGGTGGCATGTCTCCTGTACGTGGCGCTCTCCTGCACGGCACCCGAAACCCCTGGAACATCTCCCACGGTACGTCCTCCGCTGGAGGTAGACCCAGACCACACGGGTGACAAAGAACCCCATGGAACCGAAGGGATAGCCTGCCACGGTGGATGCTCGAGCCTCTGGTCGAAGATCCGCCGGTCCAATCGAGTAACATCGCGCACAACATCTCTCGCCAACTCCTCCTGCGGAGCAAAGTGACTACGAGGACGTGGAGGCACAACCACCGGCTCAGACCCCAAATCCGTGATAACGGGCGGTGGCACATCATGCACTGCCACCTGAACCGGCTGCGACCGTCGGCCCTCAGCCAAGTGCAGGCCCGAGAATGGAACGACTGGACCCGTTGCTGTCTCCTGAACCACGGGCCGTGCGTCTCTAGCCCCCTCGTCTCGCCCCTGTCCTGCCTGCACAGCCTCATCCACTGCCTGTGGCCGGCCCTCCACAGGAACATCCACTGCCTATGGACCACCCTGCATAGCCGCATCGTCTGCCTTTGCAGCCACTCCCTCCATAACGTCCTCCCTTGCCACCACCCCGCCCTGCAGACCATCCCCCCCTGTCTCTCGACGCCTGGCCTCCTCCAAGGCCCGTGCGAACGCCTGAGCACGCGTGTTACTTGATGCCATAAGTCGAGCCCTCTCTCGCTTCATGATGTCGCGTGATGTATCTGGAGACTCCGCCTCCGTCCTCTCTCTTGGGGTCTGCGTCCTCGTCTCGCCTGCTGCGTCGTGCTGTGATGGCGCCCGATCCGTCGATGTCGCCCTACAACTAGGTGGAGCGCCCATCGACATGTCGAAGTCGAAGTGCGTCCCCATCTCTGACTCCGCCCACCCTGTGGGAGAACAAATCCCCAGCTCCATCGCCATCCGCGGGGTCAAACCCCCCACGACCGGATCGACCTCCTCCCTGATGAAGCGCTGCACGAGCTGCTCATCGGTGTCCCATGCTCCATAGGAACGGCTGCCACCGTCGCCGCTATCGCTACCTCCTCCTCCCCCTCCACTGCTGCTGTTATCCCCCCCTCCACTGCTGCGTAACCTGGCACCTCCTCCTCAACCGTCGCCTGTGTTGGCACCTCCTCCTCCGCTGTCGCGACTGCTGGTGCCTCATGCGCCGCTGCTGCCACATCCCCCTCCTCAAGTGCGTCCCCCGGGGAAGTTGATCGTGACCTCAACTGTCGAACCACCGTCGACCTCTGGAGAAACCCGTGCGGAGGCAAGGAGGATGCCAACTCCTCCGTCTCCGCCTGTGTAGTGGTCGGCTGAAAAGGCGAGACGGGGGTGGGCGGTGCAGGACTCAGCGCAGGAGGTGGCCTAATGGGCGACTCTCGCCTCGTAGGAGTAGGAGTCGGTCTCCCCGCCTCTGCAAGGCTCGAGCCCACATGCGAGCCCCCGGCTCTAGCATCGCGCACATGACCCGTGGAAGCCACCTCCCCGAAAGGGCCCCAAAAATCCCCGTCTCCCCTCAGCATGTCCCTGTCCGCCCGGTCCACCGCCCGTCGTGCGGTGTATGTCCTCATCTCGGCGTCATCGGCCTCCTCGTGCGTCTCGTCGATCTCGCGAGGGATGGGGAGCGCAAGGTCATCTGCTCCCTCGGGTGCAGGCTCCGCATCCGAGTCATCGTCCTTGGGTTATGGACGAAAAATGCAAGCACGTCTCTCGAAAACGGCATCAGCGGATGGCGGTGCGGAAGTCCCGATGGGATTGCGCGTAATAAGCGCAACCTGCTGGCGATCTCCTCCTCCGTCATCCCCTTGCGCATGCCCATGCCCACAGACTCCACCTCGAGTCCTGCCTGGCAGTCTAGCATCCCCTCGTCACGCTGCCATGGCAGCACGTAACCGCATCTTGCCCGCCGATACTCTGTCAACCGCACATTTGTGGTGATCTCAACGAGCTGCACGACCTTCTCAAAGGCCAACATGTTGCGCTTCTTCGTGTGGATGCCCTCGTGGACTGCCCAGCTCCTCTCCGCTGGAGAGGCGCAGGACCACATGTGCATCACACCAAGAGCGCACCGCTGCAACTCAGGGGTGCCAGCCCCGTACTGAGACCACCAAGACGCGCACTCGATCGTCTCGGCATCACCGCTACACGCACGCCCACGAGCACGCCCCTCCACCCGCCCCAATCACCAAACCTGCCCTGCTGCATGTGGAAGTCCTCGAACTGGAGGCAGACAAGGAGGTACTCCGCACCCTCCAACTCGAAACCCGTCTGCGTCAGAATGTACCTCTTGGCTTGCCTCACAAGCCAAGCATGGTACTCCACCATGCCGGAAAAATAATGAACATGTCGCCTGCGGGGGTTCAGTAAGAACCCAACGCAGTGGGCCGGCTCTAGCATGTGCTGCATGCGGGCCTGCACACGCCTGATGATCCGGTCTGCGTATGAGGACCCCAAAGGAGCACATGCCTCCTTCACCCTCTGCACAAGATCCTGTGCCCACTCGACCATGAGCGACATGAACTGCCCTCCACGATCCATCCGCCGGAGCATCTGCATCACGGGCTCCATGATATGGACGATGGTGGCCACCCTCTGCCACCAAGGATCCCATCTGATCTGTCGGCGCACCCACTGTGCCATGTAACAAACATCGGCAGACCACGGGATGGAGGCAAAAGCTCGCGAGCCATCCCCTCGCATCATGTCCTGCAAAGTGTTCTGCAGGGCCATGAGCCTCTCCAACATGGAGTACACAGATGCAAACCGGGTCTCGCATGAAAGAACAAGCCCCAGGTTGGGGCTGCGCTTCCTAAAAAAATGAAGGGCCGCCTGGTGGGTTTTGAAAAACACCACCAATACACGAGCGCGTGTGATAGTATCAACAAACGCATCGCAACACGTCCCCATGTCTGACAACAATTTGTTGCAGACATGGATTGAGCATGAGAGCCAAGTGATCCTCCTCAATGCAAGAGGCATGGTCCCCGAGGCCATAGCCCTGGCAGCCCCGACGTACGCTGAAGCGGAGTCAGTGCATATCGCATTGACCCGCTGCGGTCCGCCGAACCTAAACTTGTGGAAACGGTGACCCATCACCAAAGGACGTGCTCAGTATCGTCCGGCTCCCCCTCTCGATTGATCGTCATGTACATGACGACCCCTCGAGAGCCTGAGGCGAGGAAATTCACGATCGGTCTCCCGTCTCGTGATTTCCTCCCGTCTGAGAGGATGGTGGCACCAATCACCCAGAATGGCTGCCTCGCCTCCTCCAACTCCTCAGCCAACTCCGCACGGTGGGTCTCCACCGCCTGCATGCGCGCAATCTCGCTGTGGCTAGGGAGCACAGCGCGCGGAGAATTGCCAGACTGCTGAAGAAGCACCTGCTAATATGCCCTCCATGCCTCGTTGCAAAAGGCATTGAAGGAAACCCCGTTGGAATAAAGCCAGCGAAGGAAGGTGTTACATGCTGCGCCTGTAACAGGCTACACGGGCCATTTCCAGGCCCGCTGTCGGTGCGAATACCCTTATAAGGGTATCGCCCTGTTTTTTTGCAAGCGATAGAAAATGGGTTTAGTTTAAAGTTTAAGCATACCGCGCGAGGCGCGGCTGCGTCTGTGATTCACATTTACTAGGGAGATTGATTAGAGTAAAGAGTGTGTGAGCGCGCAGTTTTAAGGTGCATGTGTGATTTTTCTTTTGTACTGTTCGAGGGACTGGCATAGTCGACCGACCCGGTTCTTAATTGCTAGTTAAGGTAGGGATGTTAAAAGTTCAACCTTCCTATCCGGCCCGTCCTACTAGCAGTAGGTTAGGCATGCGGAATGGTGCGTGTGGCGGCCATGGTGCAGTCTGAACAGGCCGGCGCGAACGCCTAGCGGTCGCGCGCTCGGCTGCAGATGAAGAAGTGGCCCAACGCGCCTTCTTAGGCCCTGAGCGTTACACTGCACCTGGTTATATGCGGTTCCGCGCATGCTAGTTCTAAGCTTGGGCCTAGCCCTATAGGTTACGACTTTGGACTGAGACTACGGAGACCCGGGGGTCGAGGCCAGCAACCAGCAGTGAAGGAGCAAAGGAGCACCATATGAGGGAAACTGAGGGGTGGAGGGTCCTGCGGGACTATGCCCCTTAGTTTTGTTGAAGTGGGGGGGGGATCCGACCACGGGCCCGCATGGCAGGACCGGGAAGGTGCTGTTAGGTCCTGCCCTCTTCTTTTTTTGTTTTTATTCTAGTTTATTTTATTTTGTTTTTCTATCGATCCCATTTGGGTCTGAACCCAGTGCCGGCCCTGAGATTAACTGCAAACATCAACAGGCCTAGCTTAGTTGGTAGACCTGTGAGCTGTGGAAATACAGACTAAAGTTTGAATCCAGATACTGTCAATAACTCTGACTTAATCGGGGCCGGTCTGTTGAATGATGATCCCTCAAGGTGAAACGGTATTCACTTGTTCGCAGTAGCGGATGCAGACCCAGGGCTCGATCCCTAAGTCCCACCTTACCTGTGTACAGTATCTGTGCCGACCCCGAGTATTTGAGCCCGTGACATGTGTTTTGACAGTTGTCGATTGTCTGTCGTAGGTCTGTGTAGTGGTAGGGGTTTGACCCGTAGGTCCGTCGAGTACGAGTCACGGCCGGTAGAGGTCGTGGCTATAGGGATCCTGAGAGGTCAAAGTCGTAGTTGCTACAGTCCTGAAGGGCCCAAGTCGTAGCTGCTACAGTTCTGAGAGGTCAAGGTCGCAGCTGCTACAGTACTCGAAAGGCCAAGTTCACGAACTTCCGGAAGGTCCGGAAGTGGCCTTTCGAAGCTGCTCATGTTTTGAGACAGAGGCAAGTGGGCAAGTGGCGGAGTCTACCCGTGCTAAGTCAGCAGTCCCAGTCCTAGCTAGTCCTAGTCTAGTCTAGCGAGTACCAGATGGGACTGTGTGCACCACGGGCATGGGAAAGTGCCAGGCCAGCGAGCTACAAAAGTATAAACTGAAAAGCAGCGACCAGCCATTTATTCATTTCTGCGCAAGCCATGCGGAAGCGCTGCCACAACAATTTGTGCGAAGTGACCTGCAGTGAGCCCGAAGGCGAAGTGGTAGAGAAGGAGGGTAGCCATAGCGATAGGATAGCAGCGGCCATAGCCGCCATAGCCGTAGGTGTGTGCGGGCGGGCGCGAGTGTGCAGGGTGTTGCGTGGGGGATATCTAGGGTGATCCTGTGGGCAGCAACGTCGAGCAAGTGACGAACAGAGAGTGTACAGGCGATGTGTTGCCGTAGCCAGCTACAGTCAACTTGTACCTGGGTTGTGCTCTAGATTATTATATCTCGGAGTTCTGAATGGGCGCTTGACGCCAATTGCTGCGCAGCCTGTTGACATACATGTGAAGTGTGAGTGAAAGCGAGTCTGATTGTATTGGTATTAGAGTTGGTACCTGCTATCCCATGCACCATCGCCGTTGCAGCAGGAGAGAGGGGCGGGTTGTAGGGCGCCACAGTTGATGAGTGTCGTTAAGAAGGAGGTCCGTCGTAGCTGCGCTGCGGAGGAAGGGGCCGCATACCTGCACAACAGACAACCACGAAGAGAGAGAGAGATGAGCGATACGAGATTGGTTTGATACATACCTGTACTGAAGACGTTACCACGAGGAGGGGGATAGTGACGGAGGGGCTGCTCAATTACTGTCTGTCTAGTTGATCTAAGCTACGGGAGACCTGGAGCGAGATCGGGGACTTACTTGTTGGTGGGGTGTTGCGACCGTGGGGGCTGCAGTGCGCATGATTACTGCTGCTAGAGAGCTGCATACTGTCCTGGTGAGCCACAAGTGTTGCCGACGTTTTGAGCTAGTGTTGACCTTGCTTGAGCATTGCGGCGGCAGCAGCAAGGGAGACTGCCAGGGCCATGGTTGCGAGGGTCCAATAGTTGGTTGTGTGTGAATGGCCTGACTGCTATGTTTTGTTCTATTTTCTGAAGGGCCAAGCATTGTTTCTAAGACGAATGGCCTAGTTGTTGTTTCCTTTTGAAGTATTAACTGTGAAAACTTTAAGGACCAGACATTGTTTCTAAGACGAATAGTCTGGCTGCTATTTATTTTGGGTTGTTTCTGGACAGTCTCTGAGACTTGACCCAGGGTACTCTGCTTTTTTTTTGTGCTGAGAAAAGAGGTTTGAGCATTGTTTCCAAGACGAATGGCTCAACTCTTTTGGTTGTTTTATTCTGAGGGAGGTTCAGGCTAAAGACTGGACATTGTTTCTAAGACGGATGGTCTAAGTCTGAGGCCACAGGATTTTAATATGAACAAAGGAATAGGACTTTCTATATTTCTACATATATATATTTATGAGAACAAGGCTAGCTAGACACTATTTCTGAGACGAATGGTCTGACTATAGCCTTATCACTAATTAAGAGAGTATAACTAAGAGCTATAATTGAAGGTAACTTGGGCCGGCTGAGTCCTACGCTCATTTTTGAAGATAAAGTTCAGAGGATTATATATAACTTGGCTATTTAAACAGATCAGGGCGACTAAGCATTGTTTCTAAGACGAATGGCTTAGCCACATGCCCAATGAAGAGAGAAGTAGTTGTGCAACCTGTTCGTGTATAACTAAGGCAGAGAGTTAGCATTGTTTCTAAAACGAATGGCCTAACTCGATGCCCTATGTAAGCTGGGTATAAAGGGATAAATCATTGAGAGGCTATGAACTATTGTTTGCCAAGGATGACTTGGGTTGGTGAGTGTACTTACCTTTGTGGTCCGACCTGCATGTGGCTGAGTGAAATTACTACTTAGTCTGAGTTTCAGTTTAATAGGTAGTTGCTTTAGTTGCTCGCCACGTGCTAGAGCGATAGGAGTTAATTCAATTTCTTCATTTTCTGAGCTAACTTTATTTAACTCAGGACAATTCTCGCATTTTCTGGGATCATTTTTTTATTTACTTGGCTTTGTATAAATCTTGGCAAGTGAGTTTCTCTGAGGGAAGCGCTGCCAAAATTTCTACAAATCCAAGGAGTTAGTCAGGCCATTCACACACAACCAACTTTTCAAAGTTCAGCTTGTCTAAGTTTTGTACATGACTTAGTAAAAATCTGGAAAGTCTCCTTTTCTAAAGGGAATGCTGCCAAAATTTTTACTAATTCAGGGAGTTAGATAAAAATTGGACTTTGAAGAGTCAAAGCTATTTTCAAGTTTTGAACTTAGCTTTGTATAAAATTTGAAATAACGTTTTTCTAAAGGGAGTGCTGCCCAAAATTTTGCTAGTTCAGGGAGTTAGACAAAATTTAACCTTCTTAAGTTAGAGATTATTTATGTTTTCATATTTGAGTTTATATAAATTCTGGAAAGACACTTTTCCTACGGGAAGCGCTGCCGAAGTTTTTCTAGAGGAGTTAGATTATATTTTGGCAGGTGGCGATTCTGGCAATCCACCCTGAATAGGGGAGATCCTGCCAAAGGTCTATCTTTTCTTTGGACGCTTGCTTACAGGTAGGTTCAAGTTTAGATAGTTAGAACGACTTTTGAGTACGAGCGCGACATGGAGATTGTTCTCCATAAACTTATAGATCTAGCTTGGGGGATTGGCCTGTCTGTGTTACATGTCCTCTTGATCGTTTGATTCAAGATCAGGATTAGACTCAGCTTGATCCTACAAGGATCATCTTCTGTTATCAGTGATAACAGGTCGATGGCCGATTCGTCGGTTTACGACTCGACTTCAATTCACCGTCAATGCTCAACCTAAAAGGCTTTAGCCCTGGTGTTTTTTTTTTATTTTTTTATTAAGGTTTTCACCCGGACTTTTATTGAATGGCCATTTAACAAAGGTATTGAGTATTTAATTATGGTTGGTTGGACAAGGGTTGGAGCTTGCATGGCTGAAGCGAGGGGTATGAGTGCAGAGGTTGGTTGAAGTTGACACCGTGTAGTGCATGGATTTTTGGTTGACTCTTTGATGTGATTGCAGGTATGTACTGTGGTTCGGATTTGAATTTGACTGCCTGCGATCACCCAAATATATGTGGTTGTGAGGAGTCCCGCCGTGATTGTGAGAAGTGATCGTAACATACATATCCCCCCTTGTATACATACATATGTACCTATACTAGGTGTTCACGCGGCCTGAAGGGCCCACGCTTAAAGGTTTAATTGGGGTCGAGATTGAGCAAGAGAAAGAGAACCCCTCTATTTATCGAATGCTTCTTAAAGATTTCTTAATCGGACGTTGGTCCTGGGCCCGAGTTCAAGGTCCTTGTCCAGGACACCCCAGGTCCTAGACTCTGCATGGAAGGGATCCCGCCCCGCGCAGAGCCTATTTGCCCCGCCTACCGAGACACCCAGCCTAAAGGCCGGAGGTGCCACGGAGGCTGCACGGCTATTCCTTCATCAGTGCAATATCGTGAAGGGGTAGACCCTCACGATACCTCGAGAGTGACACTTGAGTGTCATAAGCGGTACTCGGATCCACGAGGAACCGCTTGATTATGGGCACTACATAGTATGCCATTATTGCGACCGCTAGCGAATTCATGCATTGCTCGTCGATACGAGTTAGCCCTACGTCCGCGCGATTTTATACTAAGTCTCGCGCGTGACGTCTATCCGATTTTCGCATCGGAGAGTTATGGGATGATTACCAAGGGACTAGGAGTGTTGTCGCGTTGTTTGTTCAGTGTCGTCCTGTGTATGTATATGTGTGTGAGTGTGTGTGCTTTTTATTTTTATATTCTCTATAGTGGTGTGCGCGTGGAGTGTGGGATGAGTCCTAGTCGACCGGCGACGAGTCGCGCTTGGGACCTCAGCCCCCCAAGATGTCGGTTCGCGTGCGAGTTCGATAGAGGCGTAATACCGCGCGTACCCCCTATGCTACAACGAACGAGAAACACCCTCGGCTGGTGTACCTCTGCGATTGCAACTGGTCACTTTCGTATTGTGGACCGGTAGCTCGACGGGGATACGCCCACCAAAGGGAGGTGACAACTCCCGTAAGGTGGAGGTAGGTCGTGCCTCTCGTAGGCCCTATCTTGTGGTATGGGCTCGTGAGAGGTATGGCTGGCGCACTCAGCCGAAGCGGCTTGCGGAAGCTCCATATGTATTCGCGACGAAGAAGTAGACCAACTCCTGTGTGACGAGGCCGGGAGGGTCCCGCGCTGCCTTGTGAGGTGCCAAACCGATGCGCTCGACACCGTGACGTTTTCAGGCCAAAAGCCTGAAAACAAGGGCCTACAGGCCCTGTGTCGTTTCAGCCCGAAAGCCTGAAAACAAGGGCCTACAGGCCCTGTGTCGTTTCAGGCTAAATCAGGGCCTTTCCAGCCCTGAGTGTTTTCAGCCTGAAACTGAGGGCCATTTCCGGGCCCTCATGAGTTCGGCCTGCCCCGAAACTCAGGCACCAGACCAGGGTTTTAGCTCAGGCCATTTCTGGCCTATTTTCAAGACAACCTTCGTTTGAGCTTCAACCCCAGGGTCTGGCACGTTGAGGCATTGGCAAGAGCAGCCTCCCGGATGGGCCAGCACTATATAGGACTGGCCCGCCCTGCAGGCCGGCAGGTAGTTCATAGGTACTTCCCAGGCACTTCACGTGCACGTCAGGAGGCAGGAGGTAGTCTTCAGGATCGGCAGCAACACTCTGGAGGAGCGCTGCAGGAGTAGTATTAGCGCTAGCAGTAGTCTTCAACGCTGGGCGCTTTGTAGCGTTAGCAGTAGTCTTTAGCGCTGGGCACCATAGCTAGAGTAGTACCATAGAGAGAGAGATTGGGCGGAGGCCAGAGGGACTTACCTGCAGCGCCATCGCTCCAGCTTCGTCTTCAAGGCACCTTCAACACAGCGCCACCTTCACAGGTTAGTACCTGGCATATGAGAGAGAGAGAGTTCTTCTTCTTCCTCTTCTCAGTCCACCATCTCCCTCTCACCGTCTGGATATCTGACTTCACTGCATCAGCAGACTATGAGAGAGAGAGAGAGAGAGAGATTGGTGACATGTGGATCCAGGCTCGACATTGGGTTTCAAACATTTTTGACAAGGGATTATTTGGGACTTGTAACGAGACTTGGTGTTGACGACTTTCCCATCTCCCCCCTCCTCTTCGTCTGATCCCCTCCTCTTCATCTGTGCATGTCTGGACCTGGCGCCCTCTTCCTGTGTATAGCGCCAGGCCCCTTCACACCTTGTGGTGAGAATGATGTATGTTTCGTCTGCATTGCAACATTGATTGGGCTCGTCATCAGTATTCTAGCATTCTGCTTTGTTGTCTTGTACTACGTGAGAGAGGTCAGTCCCGGTCAGGTCAGGACTTGTATCTAAGTCTTCCATTGCGCTGTAAAGCACCATTTTGTATGTATCAGAATGTACACTGCTCGTTGAGATTTCACTTGCACTGCATTGTCCATTCAGTCCTTTTCATCACATTGCGGATCCTTGGTTATTATGTACATCGCCCATATGGGCATGTAACAGTTGGTATCGGAACACCGCACGTGAATCAGGACAACCTGATCAGACACGTGTGCGGGGACTAGGTAGCTGATTAGTTTTGATTGATTGATTAGAGCACACTAGTTAGCCCCCCAAAATCACGATTTTGACCTCACTTCCGAAAATCGATTTTTTTTTTTCTTTTCTTGGATTTTGTTTTCTCACTATTTCTGTTGTGGAAAATCGCAATAGCGCAACATCTGAAATTTTCGATTTCGTTTTTTCTTCTGAAAATTCAAAATTTCGTTGTTGAAAATCCGGAATATCTTCTTTTTCGAAAATTTCGATTTCCTTTTGCAATTTCCCGTTATTTGGAAAATCCGGAATATTGTTATTCCGAAATCCGTTTTTTTGAAAACGGTACGGGAATCCCTCTTGTAGTTATCATTCTCCAACTGCGCGTACTCTCATCTGAGTAATTCCAATTTTTTTTATTTTTTATTTTTTATACTTTCATTTTCGGAATTCTTTTATCAGAAAATCATTTGCGGTCTGAAAGTTCAAAATTTCTTCTCATTGATAATTTCGCACTTCAGGGGAATTGGCGGGCCTACTGAACTTGCAAACGAGTATTTTTCTTTTTCTCGAATTTTTTTTTGCAAAGTTCAAACTTTTTTTTTTTTTATTATTAGTGGCTCCTTATCTGGGCGATTTATCCCACCCCTCCCCACCTATGTTTTTGCCCCTTCTGGTCTTCTCTATCTGCCTCCAGGTACCCCCTGCGGGGGCATTGGCGAGTTGCCACGGCAGCAGGACACGGCAGCAGGACACGGCAGCAACCGGTCACCGCAGCAGCAGGTCACGTCAGTGCATGGTGCTCACCCGCTCAACGCCAAGCGGCATGGATCAGCAACCAGGCGAGACTACCGAGGCCTATGAGGCCCGCATGCTGGACATGGTAGCAGAGTTCAAGCAACGGGCAGCTGCGGCAACATCCGCACGTCAGAAGGAAGATGAGGAAGCAGAGGAACAACGTCGCCTCGCTGAACAGCAGCGACAGGCAGACGCTGAGGCAGCAAGGAAGTCCGCAGACGAACGCCGTTGACTACGCCGAGACAAACTCCTCGAATGCGAGGGGGATATCGAGGTGATCGCCGACGAATGGGCAGTGGCTGCTAAAGAGGAGAGTGCCCCCTCTGCTGTGCGTGGCCTTGCAACCACAATCGAACATGTGAGCAACTTGCTCGCCACCTATGCAGCACAACAAGAGGACATCCTCTGCGTGGACACCCTGGTCCGGAAGCAGATTCGAATTATTGATGAACTGCTTGACCGGGTACGCCGGCTGGAACAATAGCTTGCAATAGCTACCCCCGCCGGACCCTCCAACTTGATGGACCGCGTCAACATCTTGGAAATCGACGTCGAGACTCTCAAGGACGACGCTCTAACGACAAATCAGCGGATTGACCAGCAGATTTGAGCCGCCGCAGCCAGTCCGACCGCGACTAATCGCGAGAGCATCCCGAAGTTTGACGGCCTCCCGATCTTCTGCGATGCAACGAAGACAGACCCAATCCCATGGTGGCGCCAGTTCGAGCTGAAGCTGGACATTCACCACGTCATCAACCCGAACCGGCACGCATACTTATACTCCCGCTCGGGAGGCGAGTGCCAGGCATGGCTGCACAACATGTTGTCCACGCACAACGTCGCAGTCTCCAAGCTGCATACGAAGATCAGCTGGGCTGATCTCAAGGCAGCATGGCATAAGCGGTTCCAAGTAGAGCCGCCCGAGCTTCAGGCAGCCGAGAAACTTCAACGGTTCTATCAGAACGACCTGCCAAGCACGGACTGGATAACCGAGTACCAACGCTTGGCGTCCACGCCCAATTTGCCATCAACCTTTGTCGCCATCAAACACTTCTTCATTGGGAGGAGTTGTCTGGCGTTGCAGAACGCCTTGACGCAAGTTGCGGAGACGCTCACCACAAGTGAGCAGCTTTTTGATAAAGCCTCGCAGATCATCGTGACGAACATCGAAGCCAAGAATTTGGGCCATTCGTCTGCTGCAGGCCAGGGCAGAGGACAGCATCGACCGAAAGTGGCCGTGGTCGCAGCAACTACAGCGACCGACCCTTCAAACGAGGCTGCCTCTTCTGAGGAAGGAGACAGATTGGCAGCTGCCCGGGATGGTGGCCGCCCCGCCAGAGGGCAAGGACGCGGCAAACCGAAGACACACACCAATTCAGTCCCCGGGGCCAGACCAGCGGCTCAAGAGCCTTGGACACATTACGGTATCTCGGAAGGCGTGTACCACATTTGTACTAAGTATCGATACTGCTTGTGGTGCAACAGCGTGGTGCACGACACTGCAACGTGCCCCACGCCAGTCAAAGGCAAATTCCCTTCGGGAAAGTGAGCACCGCCGAGAGTGATGCGGCTGCACTCTCGACGCCTTCGGAATCGGTTGCTTCGCGAGCGACCTCTCTTCATTCCGAGGCACATGGAGAAGTCGATAGTCCTCTCTTATAGTCCTATGAGGACTATGCTGCTCGGCTCGTTCCTTCGCTAGGTTCTCAAGCTAAAGGACAAGATGTGTGTGCGGCTTCTTCTCCGCCCGACAACAGCAACAATGAATCGTCTTCAAGTGGTTCTTCAAGGGATTCGACGCAAGAGTTCAACATAGAGGTCTTGGACCCGTTGACGTCCGAGGATTTTGCATGGCTTCCTCTCCCTTCCACAGGCTGCTTGCCGGGACCGCAATGCGCAACACTATGCGCCCATCTCCACACATACTTAGCCTTCTATGCACCACCATCTTCACCGACGGATGACAAAGCTGCGGTGGGGGACATCCTTTTTCCGAGGCACATGCAAAAGTCGACAGTCCTCTCTTGTATTCCTATGAGGACAATGCTGCCCGGCTCGTTCCTTCCCTAGGTTCTCAAGCTCAAGGACAAGATGTGTATGCAGCTTCTTCTCCGTCCGGCAACAGCAACAATGGATCGTCTTCAAGTGGTTCTTCAAGGGATTCGATGTCTGCTTTCAACCAGGCCTTAATGTGATTCCTCATCACAGGATATGTGTCTAGCTTTTCCAAGAGGCACGAAGTGTTGATTCGATCAAAGCATTTCGCAATGTCGGCGTCAAGCACATATTTGGCTCTAATGGCTCTAGCCAGAACTTCCATGGCATCTTGAGGACTACGTCCTGGCCTAACACGAGTTCAACATAGAGGTCTTGGACCCGTTCACGTCCGAGGATTTTGCATGGCTTCCTCTCCCTTCCACAGGTTGCTTGCCGGGACTGCAATGCGCAACACTATGCGCCCATCTCCACACATACTTAGCCTTCAATGCACCACCATCTTCACCGACGGATGACGAAGCTGCGGTGGGGGACATCCTTGCGTATGTTACCAAGGTGGCCCACGAGTTTCACATGCAGCGGTACGATGATAACAACGCGCCGCTCCTTTATGTTTGCATCCAAGTTGGGCAAGCGTCCTGCAACGCTTTGCTGGATAGCGGCGCGACTCGCAGTTTCATCAGCCAGTCCTTTATCCAAAGGGCCGGCCTTGGCGCACAAGTTCGGAGGAAGCCAAACCCGACGGCGATCAAGTTGGCGGACGGTCGGATGCAACAACTCCTCGATCGCTACAGTGAAGCTGTGCCGGTTTATTTCTCACCTCATGCATGCGAACCAGTGACGTTTGACGTCTTAGACACAGACTTCGACATTATTTTGGGGATGCCTTGGCTTGCAAGTGTCGATCACACGGTTAACTTCCATCAGCGGACACTTACCGTTCGCGACGCCTTCGGCGCCGAGGTGCCGTGTACCATTCCTCTTCCCCACTCCTCGATCCGGTGCCAAGTTGAAATGGCCAAGTCTTTTCGGGCCGCTTGCGCTTACGAGCGGACCGACGAGATAGGCCTATGTTTTCTACGAGCCACCGCGACGACCGAATCTTCACCTACGGACTTGTCTTTGGACCCCCGAGTGGTGTGGTTGCTCGACGAGTTCACCGACATCTTCGAGTCTCCTACCGGTGTGGTGTCGGATCGACCGATCTCCCACGAGATCATTCTTGAGGCCGGTGCCGTGCCGCCGAAAGGATGCATCTATCGCATGAGCGAGGAAGAGCTCGCGGTTCTCCGTGCTCAACTCGACGATCTTTTGGACAAGGGTTGGATCCGCCCTAGTAGCTCACCATACGGTGCACCAATTCTCTTTGTATGGAAGAAGAACAAGGATCTTCACTTGTGCATCGACTACCGCAAGCTCAACGCACAAACCGTCAAGAATGCGGGACCTCTTCCGCGGATTGACGACCTTCTCGAGCGTTTGGGCGATGCAAAATTCTTCTCAAAGTTGGACTTGAAGTCGGGCTACCATCAAATCTCGATACGCCCGCAAGATTGCTACCAATCCACGTTCAAAACGCGGTACGGGCATTTTGAGTGGATCGTTATGTCTTTTGGCCTCACCAATGCCCCGACGACCTTTCAAGCGGCAATGACCAATGAGTTTCGTGCGATGCTGGACCGGTTCGTACTAGTCTAGTTAGACGGCATTCTCGTCTATAGCCAGACATTGGAGGATCATCTTGAGCACCTTCGACGAGTGTTGGAGACGCTCCGTTGCGCCAAGTACAAAGCCAACCGCGACAAGTGCGAATTTGTCCGGCAAGAGCTGGAATACTTAGGCCATTTCGTCACACCGGAGGGCATCAGTCCGTTGTCGGACAAGATTCAAGCCATCCAAGAGTGGCCGGAGCCGAAAACCGTCACAAATGTTCGTTCCTTCCTTGGCTTAGCCGGCTACTATCAACGCTTCATCAAGGGATACTCGAAGATCGCGGCTCCTTTATCCAAGCTTCAATGCGAGGACTGACCATTCGACTTCGACGACAATGCGCGGACTTCCTTTTTGGCTCTCAAAGCCGCATTGCTATCCGCGGAGGTGTTGCGCATCTACGATCCGCTTTTGCCGACACGTGTCACTACCGATGCGTTCGGCTATGGCATTGGTGTCGTCCTCGAGCAACATGACGGTGTGGACTGGCACCCGATCGAGTACTTTAGCAAGAAAGTGCCCGCCGTTCACTCGATTGACGACGCGTGGAAGAAGGAATTATTGGCCTTCGTACACGCGCTCAAGCGCTGGCGGCATTTTCTTCTCGGTCGACGGCAGTTCCGATGGGTAACGGATAACAATCCCTTGGTCTTCTACAAGACCCAGGACACGGTTAATAGCACCATTACCCGTTGGATGACCTTCATCAACCAGTTTGACTTTTTCCCCGACCACATTCTGGGCAAGTCAAACCGTTTTGAGGATGCTCTTTCACGGCGTCCGGACCATTGTACCGCAGTCTACTCAACTTTTGAGATTAATGACGACTTGCGGGACAGCTTCATCCGCTGCTACCAAGTCGATCCCGAGTTTTGCGACAAGTACGCAAATTGCTCCTCTCACAATCCAGCGCCATCACACTATCGGATCCAAAAGGGGTACTTGCTCGTCCACTTGCGAGGGGAGGATCTTCTTTGTGTGCCACGAGATTTACACTTGCGCACACAACTTCTTGGCGAGTTCCACGACGCTCCCGCCACCAGACACTTTGGAGTCAATACGATTGGCCGACTCCGCGAGCGCTTTTGGTGGCCCGGTCTTCTCGACGACGTCACACGCTCTTGCGAGTCATGCGAGGTTTGCCGACGTTGCAAATCCCGCAATCATCGTCCGTATGGCGAGTTGGGACCGTTACCGGTCCCCTTGCGGCGAAGGGAAGCAATTGCCATGGACATTACCGGCCCGTTCCCCAAGCACAAAACCGGAGTGGATGGGATTCTCACGGTGGTCGACTGACTCACCAAGTTTGCCATGTTTTTGCCTTGCCACTATCATGCCAAGGCACCGGAGTTGGCCGAGGTTCTTTACGCCGGTTGGATTCGAACCAAGGGTTACCCCAAGGAAATCGTTTGCGACCGCGACACTCGGTTCATGGCGCTCATCAAATGATGGGGCTCATCTCTCAAGCCAAGTTCGGCTCGCCACCGCCGAACCGATGGCCAAACGGAGAGGGCGCATCAGACCGCACATGTTCTCCTTTGCACTCTCATCCGTCCCAACCAAAAGGATTGGGTTGAGCGGCTGCCGGATGTCGAGTTGGCACACAACTCGTCCATCCACCCGACTATCGGGATGTCGCCCTTCGAGTTCGAGCACGGCTTGCCCGTCACTTCTCCGTTGGACACAATCATTCCACGAACGACGGAGAGCGATGACCATCTTCTTTTCTTGCGACGGATACAAGAGCTACTTGTCAAGGCACGCGACCAGATGGCCAAGACGCAGCAACACATGAGCCAACAGGCCAATCACCAGCGTCTTCCTTGCCCATTCCGCGCCGGCGATCTCGTTTGGGTTTCCGCCGCGGAATTCAGCCTTGAACAAGATCTCTCTCGCAAGCTCCTCCCGAAATGGATGGGGCCTTGGGCGATCGTGGCACCGGCCAGGGATGCACCCGAAGAACCTTCCTTCACCATTCAGGTGCCAGCCCACTTGCCCGTCTACCCGGTCTTTCATTGCTCCAAGTTGGCTCTCTACACGCCAGCGGAACATGACGATTTTCCCGAACGACGATCGCAAGACCCACCCTCTATGGATGGGTTTTAAGAGGTCGGCAACATCATCTCCCAGCGACGCTACGGCAACAGGCCAACCGAGTACTTGGTACACTTTGCGTATTGCAGTCACCTAGCTGACCGATGGTTAACCCGTGCGGAACTCCAAGCAACAACTTCGGATGTTCTCGCACGCTACGAACGCAAGATGCAAGGCAAGCCGGTATCTTCGGCTCCACGACGCACCCGCATCCACGTTCCACCTTCAGATTGTCAGCTTCGCCCTCGCCCTGGCTTGACTTCATAAGGAGGAGGGGCTGTTACATGCTGCGCCTGCAATAGGCTGCACGGGTCATTTCCAGGCCCGTGACGTTTTCAGGCCAAAAGCCTGAAAACAAGGGCCTACTGGTGTTGTTTCAGCCTGAAAGCCTGAAAACAAGGGCCTAAAGGCCCTGTGTCGTTTCAGGCTAAATCAGGGCGTTTCCGGCCCTGAGTGTTTTCATCCTGAAACTAAGGGCCGTTTCTGGGCCCTCATGAGTTCGGCCTGCCCCGAAACTCAGGCACCAGACCAGGGTTTTAGCTCAGGCCATTTCTGGCCTATTTTCAAGACAACCTTCGTTTGAGCTTCAACCCCAGGGTCTGGCACGTTGAGGCATTGGCAAGAGCAGCCTCCCGGATGGGCCAGCACTATATAGGACTGGCCCGCCCTGCAGGCCGGCAGGTAGTTCATAGGTACTTCCCAGGCACTTCACGTGCACGTCAGGAGGCAGGAGGTAGTCTTCAGGATCGGCAGCAACACTCTGGAGGAGCGCTGCAGGAGTAGTATTAGCGCTAGCAGTAGTCTTCAACGCTGGGCGCTTTGTAGCGTTAGCAGTAGTCTTTAGCGCTGGGCACCATAGCTAGAGTAGTACCATAGAGAGAGAGATTGGGCGGAGGCCAGAGGGACTTACCTGCAGCGCCATCGCTCCAGCTTCGTCTTCAAGGCACCTTCAACACAGCGCCACCTTCACAGGTTAGTACCTGGCATATGAGAGAGAGAGAGTTCTTCTTCTTCCTCTTCTCAGTCCACCATCTCCCTCTCACCGTCTGGATATCTGACTTCACTGCATCAGCAGACTATGAGAGAGAGAGAGAGAGAGAGATTGGTGACATGTGGATCCAGGCTCGACATTGGGTTTCAAACATTTTTGACAAGGGATTATTTGGGACTTGTAACGAGACTTGGTGTTGACGACTTTCCCATCTCCCCCCTCCTCTTCGTCTGATCCCCTCCTCTTCATCTGTGCATGTCTGGACCTGGCGCCCTCTTCCTGTGTATAGCGCCAGGCCCCTTCACACCTTGTGGTGAGAATGATGTATGTTTAGTCTGCATTGCGACATTAATTGGGCTCGTCATCAGTATTCTAGCATTCTGCTTCACTGTCTTGTACTACGTGAGAGAGGTCAGTCCCGATCAGGTCAGGACTTGTATCTAAGTCTTCCATTGCGCTGTAAAGCACCATTTTGTATGTATCAGAATGTACACTGCTCGTTGAGATTTCACTTGCACTGCATTGTCCATTCAATCCTTTTCATCACATTGCGGATCCTTGGTTATTATGTACATCGCCCATTTGGGCATGTAACAACAGGCCTTCTTGTGGCGAGCAACCCACTTGCCACCGTACACCTCATCCACCTTCTGTTGTCTAAGCCTCGTTCCAGCTTTGGTGGCAGCCGGAACAGCTCCTCCGTCCTTCCTCTTGGAAGAACCCTCCCCCGTCAGACCTTGCATAGGCACTTGCCCCTTGCCTCTTCGCCGCTCCTAGTCCACGATCCTCTCCCCCGTCGATGGATCGAACTCTGGCATCTCCTCTTGTCCCGGGAATCCCTCCCGGGACGTGCCACGTGCCTCGCTATCGATGATGATGACGTCCTCCTCGATGTCACCGCCTCCACCCCCCAATGGATGGTCGGGCTCACCATGCCCACCATCTCCCCCCCCCCCCCCCCCCCCCCCCCCCCGCACCCCCCCCCCCCCCCCCCCCCCCCCCCCCCTGGGCACGCTCCGCTCCATACTTGGAAACCCTCTCCATCTGGTCGGAATCGAACTTCAGTTGAGTCCGTTTTCCGATTTCGTACAAGGCCTCATCGGTGACAGCCTTGCAG